AGGATTTTTTTTCTTGTACATATAATTTGCAAATTTGAAGCCTTACTATTCAATACATTTTTTCCTTCTATGGATAATAGCTTGCAAAGATGGCTCAATTTTCCCATCCCTCTCTGTATTTACTCCCTTTGTAATGAAAAGTTGCAGCCCCTTCCACCAGGATTTAGAGTCTGTTTTTTGAATCTGGGCTGGACTTGTGACTTTCTTTGTCCAAGAGAACATGGCAGAAATCATGACATGCCAGTTTCAAGCCTAGGCCTCGAGAAGTGTTCCACTGCTTGTGTCCACTCGCCCAGACCTCCACCTTCGCCTTGAGAAGAGCCCCGACTGGCTTCCTGGGGAGGAAAACCACACGTAGACTCAAGTCCTCTCAGGAGATGTCATCCTACACCGGCCAGTCCCCAGCTAACACAACAGATGACTCATAAGCAAGCCCAGCGGAGATCAGCCAAGCCTGGCCCAGCTGAGCAGAATCCTCTGGGCAACTCACAGATTCACAAGAAATAATATATTGCTATTTTATGCCACTAAATTTTGGGGGTTTTTTTGTGTAGCAGTAGTTAACTGATATACCCATAGAAGTAATCTTATGTCCTATTTCCTCTTTTCTTTCTGTCACCATGTCACAATAATCACCGTATCCTCTTATCTTTTAGCTTTTTTTCTAACCCATCTTGTAAGTCTGAGTTGGATCAAGCCTTCAGCATGCTTCTTTTTTCCCCCTGAGTGCTGGGTGTCAAAACAACAGCCTCATTTGACCGGGACACTCCCTGGTTTTATTCCCAGGGATACAGCTTCTTCTCCTTGCCTAAATCCCCAGCACTGCCTGGCCTCCCTCAGTCACTGTGGTAGCTGCCGCCCTGCAGCTCTCCTGGGAGGGCCTCCCCATCTGAAGCCAGGGGTGCAGGTTGCTGGTCTGCATGCTCTGTGAGCTCGGCTCTGCCGTCTGAAGCAGAGTTTCCTTTGTTTTTCTTTTTTAAAGACTTTATTTATTTATTTTTAGAGAGAGAGGCAGGGAGGGAGAATGAGAGGGAGAGACACATCGACGTGAGAGAGAATCATTGATCGGTTGCTTCTCATACACGCCCCAACCAGGACCAAACTCACAACCCAGGCCTGTGCCCTGACGAGGGAGCAAACTGGTGACCTTTTACTTTGCAGGATAACGACACCCAACAAACTGAGCCACACCAGTCAGGGACAAAGTGGTGTTTTCTTGAGAGCCTTTATACCTACCCTTGCTTAGAGGGTCTTGTTAGTGATGATAGGTCAACCTGGAGTAACCTGGCCTTCCCGCGACTGTAGTGTTCTATAGTATTTGAGACGATGCCTGCACTTTCAGTCTCCCAGTTTCAGTTATCAAGAGTAGGAACAGGAAGGAAGGGTGTGATACAATGGGGTATTATTCAGCCTTAAGAAGCAATAGATTTCTGATACATGCTACCACTTGGATGAACCTTGAAGACTATACTGAATGAAATAAGATAGACACAAAAGGATAAATGTATGATTCCACTTATATGAAGTACCTAAAAAAATCACATACATAGAGAGAATGAGGAACAGTGGTTAGCAGGAGTTGGGCAAAGAGGATAAGTTATTTAATGCAAAGAGAGTTTTGGCATGGGATGGTGAGAAAGTTCTGGAAATCGATGAGTATGATGGTGGTACGTATGGAATGCCACTGAACTGTACACTTAAAAATGATTAAAGTGGTAAATTTTATGTTATGTATATTTTACTTAATCAAAATGTAAAATTTTAAAAAACACAAGATGCCACTTCACATGCACTAAGATTGCTACAGTAAAAAAAATTTTAATGGAAAAGAAGAAGAAGAAGGTCCCAGTGCAATCATCAAACTGCCCAAAACTTGGCTTAGGTCTCTAAATTCTCTCCTCAATCCTTTGAGACTTTATTTTCCTTCTGGGCTTGAAAGTCTTACTCTGTGTTCTGGTGCAAGTCCCCAAAGCTACTTTCTTTTTTCTTTTTGAAGACTTTATTTATTTATTTTAGATAGGGGGAAGGGAGGGAGAAAGAGAAGGAGAGAAATATCAATGTGTGGTTGCCTCTCGCGTGCCCCCTACTGGGGGACCTGGCTTGCAACCCAGGCATGTGCCTCCTGACTGGGAATCGAACTGGTGATCCTTTGGTTTGCAAGCCAGTGCTCAGTCCACCGGGCCACACCAGCCAGGGCCCAAAGCTACTTTCCAGAATGGGTATTTTTTCCATCTCTTCTCTGTTGAGTCAAACCCCTGCTCTCTTTTAGGGTCCAGTTCAAATCCCATTTGCTGTATGAAACCCTCCCTGATCACCACCCTAATCTTTCTTGCCTGTGAACTACCCTTGACCTTACTGTTGTACAATTATTTACCCTTTTTCATAAACTGTTTTACACTATTAAAATACAGGGTGGAGCAAGGTAGGTTTACAGTTGTGAGCACAAAAAAAAAAAACACTGAGTTTATTCTTCTGTTCTTATTTATTAACTATTGTATCATTTTCCATAGGAATAACTGTAAGCCTACTTTTGCCCCACCCTATATTTTAAATAGTTTGATATACTCAGATGTTGCTATCGACATCAGCAACTGTTCATCCTGTATTAGATTCTCTTTATCCAACTAATCTATACACATATGAATACTTTAAAAAAAAGGAAGCACAATTTGTACCTATTTGGCTCTCTTATAACAGCCCATATAGAATGCTGCATGTATTGTTGCTCAGTAATTGCTGGTCTGCCATTTGATTGTGTTTTTACTGATAACATAATCTTGAAAGAACTTTTCTGAAGAAAATGCCTGAGACCAGTGTTTTTCAAACTGTTTTCTTCATGGTACCCCCTCCCCCCACGAGACTTTGGAAACAACTTTTCCTAATCTCTTTCCCCATAAAATGTCACTACTACCATCAGCAGAATATCCTTTCATGGAACATCTGTTATATATAATTTTTTTCTTCCCCCAACAACCAATCTTTGCCTGCTGGGGGGCAATTGCAGTTCCATTGAGAATACGCCCCTTAGCCCAGACGGGAGATGGACTTCCAGGGTTCTGCAGTGAGGCGGAGAAGATGTTCACTGGGTGGTATTCGGGCATTTCAGGTTCCTCAAGGCACAGCTTCATGAAGTTCTTCTACCCCAGCCCCTGAGTAGCACTTAAAAAGCCCAGCTCTCTCTGGCCTCTGTGGTTACTAGCCACCTACACTCACAGTTGAGGACAGAACCTGAAAGTATCCTCTCTAAAATGTACTGATTTCTGTAAATCTCAAGAGTTGTTTAGTGACTAGCTTACTCACTTATTTACAAAGTTATTATTTAATAAGTTATTAACTTATTTTGCTAAATGTGTGATTTGCTGAGGAGTAGGGGATAAATTGTTGGAGTTTACGCAAGGAAAGACTGGTATACAATGTTGCCTCTTCTCTTGTGGTGCATGGATTGAATTAGAGGGAAAGGAGAAAGGACCGGGCACAGTGTAAACGACGGAAGGCTGCCGCCAGCACGTATAGTTGCCTTGTTTGAATTGGAGCAAGGAGCCCCTTCCTTCAGGTCCCACAGCCCTGGCCAGAGCTCAGCCTACTCACACCTGAGCACCCTGGTCTGGATATCTTTATGGAGGGAACCACCTGCACACCCTCCAACAGTAACACCTGAAAGGATAAACAGATGTAAATGTAGCAGTTAATATATTTAAAATTTGTTTTAAATGCCGTGAAACAGTATATGAGATGTGCTTTTTGCAGCCACAAACTCCGTCCTCCCTCTTATTGACTGTGCAGAGTTTAGATTTGGGAAAGCCAAGTCAAGCTCTGGATTCCACATCCCTCCTCTGTGCTCGGATGTGGTGTGCAACTGGCAGGGGGCCCACGTGGAGTGTGGGAGCATCCGGACAGAGAGCGTTTCCAAAGAGAACTCCAGACAAGTTGCCATGTAGAGCACATGTCTCCTGGGACGCCTTGCATAGAGTTTTAATGGCTTTGTTCCCTCTAATCTGGGCTTTCCATCTGAACTATTAAATTTTAGTTTAGAGTAAGACATTCCATCAACTTCACTACCAATAATGAATTGTTAATTTGCAAAGATACTTTCATATAGCTAAACGCAAAGTTTTGGTTGTTTTTTTTTTCAAGATACCAATGATCAAAAAGTTCTTCTGTTTCTTTAAGCTTAAAACCTGGGATTTCTGCCAAATGTCTAATTTTCTATTGTTACCACATTTTGACCTCAAGTGGAAATAACCATCTACATTAGAAATATCACTGCATCATATAAACTAGGAAAACTTTGCATGGCTTGTGATAGAATGGGGGACTACAAGTAGTTTCTTTTGTGGCTCTGAAGCAGCCTACAATGGAATCAACAAACTCCTGAAAGTATTATTAATGGAAAATATGTAAACTCTCTTTGTGGGTCAACATTGTACCTCATAAAATACAGACTCCACAATATCAGTGGGTAAACAGTCTACTTTATAAAATGGAGACTCCATAATATCAGCGGGTAGATACTTTACTTTTTAAAATATAGATCCCACAATACCAGTTTTTTCAGATTGCTTAAGGCTTCCGGTTTGTTGCTACAGAAGAAATGATGGTGATAACTGAATGATTATAAGCTTGTTTTGAGATTTATAAACATTTGATTTATATATAATTCATGGCAAACAGAACCCCATTTTTGTTCTGTATCAAAAGTATTTTTAAGTTATTTATATTGTTTCAAAATCTCATTTTATTTTGCCAATATAAATATTTCTTTTTTTTTGTATCTTCATTTTTATTTACAAAAAGGAATATACTCATTCTTTTAAATTAAATCAGTGTATAAAATCTAAATATAAAAATCAACACAAAAACTCATCACATTGTACCAGGAGGGACCTAAGAAAAAAACGGAATTATCTTCTGGAGGGCAGGCCCCTTGTAGTGCAGGCTTCCCCCACCTGGTGAGTGTTCTAAGAACTCATCTGTATCAGTGTACCAGCTGGTGTTGTTGTGAGAGGCTGTGTTCAGCTTCAGTGAATTTTTCTGAAGACTTTTTCAATGCATTTGCCCATTTTGTGATGGGTGATTTATGGGCACACCTGCCCACACCATGCTGTGTTCAGCAGTTTTTGACCCCCATACCTCACCCTCCTTATTCCCCTGATCTTGCCCAAGAGACTTTTGTTTGTTTCCCCGGAATTTTTGAGGAAAAAAAAATTCCTCAAAGGAAACATTTTGCTGGTGTGGAAGAAGGGAAACAAAAAATGACAGGAGCACCAAAAGGCAAAATCAATGAGTTCCAAAACTGTTTTGAGCAGTAGCAAAAAGTTCTCTGTATCACATCAAATGGAGAGTACTTTGAAGGTGACTGAAATTTAAATATGTAAGAATAACTACACAATTTTTATAAATAAATTCTGGGTATTTGGGTCTCCCCTCATATATATAGTGTTTCAGAGAAGTAAGTTCCTGTAGGGCATTTAAAATAGAGATCGATGTACTTTTTCACATCGTCTTCACACACCAGAGAGAGGTCAGCTTTTCTGGTCATTCAGCCCCATGTTGCACGGAGAGCGTTCAAGGAATTTGTCAGCCTGTATCTGCCCTCATGGTGACTTAGACTAAATGGAAAGAAACGAAAGTCTTCAGAGGGCAGAGGCGGGGCGGGGCGGGGGGCGGGGAGGAACAGCTTCTTCTTGTGCATCCCAGTGCCCTCCGAGAGCTGGCTGCTTGCACACTCTGGGCCTGCTCGTCACATCTGGGGCCTCGAAGGTCTTCGCCCTTGGAATCCTCTGAATTCTGGGCATTGCCCTGAGCCTGGAATGTCTGGCGCGCTGAAATCACAGTGCGAGATGAATCAGAACACGCTGTGAGATGGGCCTCTCATTTTGTGCAATTAGGAGTCCAGCTGAGGAGGTGACCAAGTAGCTCTCCAGGGATGCACATGCCTGGGAAAAAAGACAGTATTTTCTAGAAGGCACAGAGACCTGGCTCCATATGCCTCCCAATGTTCCCGTAAAACAACACTCAGGCTTGGATGCTTAAAAAAACAAAGAAACAAAAAAAAACCCTTTCTGATAAAAAAAAATGTACACCCATTCTTATGAATTTGAAGAACAAATACATCTTCATCTTTAATCGCTTTAATTCAATGAAACTATTTTATGATATTTCAACTTTGGCTGTTTTATGGAATTATAATCAGCGATAGAAACAAGAGCTGAGTCACCTGTATCTGTTACCCCCACAAAAACAGGAGACGGCAAAACAGCCAGACACGGAAGATGGCTTCCACTCCAGTGTGTGGCTGTCTTCCCAGCACCTTGATTTAAATAGTATCGTTGAAGAGTAGAAAAAGATCCCAAGAATTTGGGTTGAAAACAATTTGGTTGCCATAGGGCATGGTCATTAAATATTTCATAAGGTATTTAATAGAGTGTCTATTTACAAAAAAATGCATACAGGGCTACTTGAGAGCCTTTACTGGATACACAAAACATGTTGTTGTATGATGTTATGTTCAGAACATAGGCTATAGCCTAAACATGTAGAGTAATTTAAATATCTGAAATATCGTTAAAGCTCAGTAATGAAGACTGTGTAAACCATGAGAAAGTGTGCTTTGAGTTTCCAAACTGCCTGCCGTATTAAATAAAAATACCTTGTGCAGTGGCAACGCAGAGAACTCTGGGATTCTGTAGCAATGGACCTGGGACATGTGCAACGAAATCGAGCACTCCACGTCAGATACTAAGCGATTAAATTTTTAAAAATCCCTAAAAAAAGCACTAACCCACTAAGTCAATATGACTGGATATGCTGCTTGAAGAGTGACGGCCCAGCCCTGCACACAGCCTGCGCAGTGCCCGGTGCTCAGGAAGGAAGCTGGATTGAAAACAAGACTGCAACAACCACAGCCAGCCTACTTTAGAAATTACAATATGCCCTCAGATGGATAACCTGAATGTGCCTTTTGGGCAGAGATTTGATGTGGGGGAGAGCTGGGTTGGGGAGTATTTTGTCTGTAAATACCATGGATTTTAAAATCTTCTCTTGCACTGAAAACTCAGTTTATTTTAAGCCCACTGAGGTAGCCTAGCAAGAGTGACATCTAGTGGTCACCCCTCTCTTCCCCCACCGCATCCCACTCTTCAGGCCCTTTTCTCTCTCTCTCCTCCTCACCCCAGCCCCTTTCCTCTCTCTTTCCAAAGAAAGAGTGTTATCAGATTTAAGCATTTAAAGTTGAATCTCTATTAATATCCACAATTAAATGGTCTTTCTGGGTCTCTAAGTTGCTTCAAATACATGTGTTGATGGATTAAGACTGAAATGTTTAGCTGACTATTTTTCTGACTTGAATGGAAGTCACCTAGCTGTAGAGCAAAGGGAGAATAATTGGGCTCAAATATTTAAAAGGACAAGTTTGACAGCCCAAAGCGCTTGGTGATGGATAGAATGCTCACAGGTGCTCCCTTTGCTTTAGCACGGCCCCCCGCCCCCTTCTTCCCATCCATACGGGAGGCTGCCACCAGACTGATCTTCCCGAATAGTAACTCTCATCAATCCTTCAGTTGCCCCCAGTTGTCCGCCACATTGAATTTAAATGCCCATCAGATCAGCCCACTTTCCTCATTTCTCACAGCTCCCCAACTCACGTCTTTATGCCAGTCAAGTCAGTTTCCTCTCTGTCCTCTGGAGACCCATCGTGTTATTTTCTCCTTGCCTGCCTTTGTTTCTCCTCTTCTCTCTCGCTTTCTTTTCTGCTGCCTGTTTCCCGAGGCTCCCTGTCAGCCCATCTTTTCTATAAAGCCATGTCTCTCTTCTTTATTCTGTCCTCTGAACCATTATTTTATTTATACTTAGCCCCACACAGTGAAGCATTAAACTGCTTTTCTGGTAGAGTCGTGCCTCGGTGCGCGTTGGCTTCAGACCTCATCAAACCTGGTACTCGTCACGTTTGGACGAGAAAAGAATGTTTCAGCACTCAGCACTTGCCGGGGGCCTGTCGCACTTGCTAGAACCTGTATGAGTCATGACGCTGCCCCGCAGGAGAGCATTTTTTTTTTTTTTTACGGGGCGATGCATTCAGTACTGGTCGGTTTCAGCACTCCTGACGAGTTCTGGAACGAATTCACCACGAGCACTGAAGTACTACTGTATTTCCTGCTTCTTTATCTTGTCTCATCTGCTTGAGGGCAAACCCTGCAAAAGCAAGGGCTGATGCTTTCTATGTCTTTTTGTATTTCCCTCAGTTTTGGGGGAGTGGGGGTTTACTAAATTACTTAATTTGAAGGAATAGTACAAATGAAAGGACTTAAGTAGATTATTTTGGTACAACCTTAGTTTTTTAATGGTGTGAAAATGTAAAACCTATCTTCTTCTAAATGGTTCCTTAATCTTGTCTCATGTTTGGGTGGAAAAGCCCTGTCTCCTTTTGTGCAGCCAGCAGATGGGCTACGGTTTTTGGTAACTACTAGTGTAATGTGAGGTTGTGATGCAAATCAACAAAATAAGCCTTAGATCAAGCTGGGTTTGTGTGAAAGTTTGCTGACTCCCAGGAGATTCTCAAAGCAGTGTAAACATAGAATAAAGTCTTTTACAAACATTCGAGCCTACACAGCAGAGCAGAATGACAGAATTTTGTGGAAATCTTCCTCAGTATTTGAAAAGCTCTATTTATTTTTCTTCAGGAAGCTCACCTACTCTAAAAGTGTTCTTGTATCTCTAATTCAAGTTTTGTTCACTATTGTTTGATATCTCACAGTGTCCCATATATTGTGGTTTCCTATCGTGCAGCCTGAAGAACACAGGGTGTCAAATTAAAATTTCTATTTCTTTAAGTTAAGGGAACTTTCGTACTAGAATTTGGATAAATAATATTTCAGATTCTATTACACATTCATGCAGCCTTGGTCAGGTTAATATCACATCAGCTAAGATTTGAATGAAGGACTGAATTCTCTCCTGGCCACCACCTTTGAAAGAGACAGACAAATTGGAGAGAGTTCAGAGGGGAAGAACAAAAATGATCAAAGGTTTGCAAAATCAGCCCTGGGAGGAGAGGTTAAGAGAATCAGACCTGTTCTGCCTGGAGAAGAGAGGGCTGAAAAGGGCCATAATAACTCTCCCCAATACATAAAAGGATGTTTTCAGGAGGAAAGGGACCAATTATCCTCATTAGTCAACAAGGACAGGACCAGGAGTAATGGGACTTAAGCTACAGCAAAGGAAGAAAAAAAGATTAAATATTATGAAAACCTTCATTTCAAGGCTAGCCCTAATGCCTTTTCTGAGTTAGGGATGAAGAAATCAGTGCTGCTGCGACAGTAGGGGGAATATTAGAAAATTGCTGGAGAAACCTTGACAACTCAATAATGGGGGGAGGGAATTTTGATGTTACTTTTTACATTTATGTAAGGTCCAACAGAGCAGCCCAATGAGGGAGTTCTTTTCCCTCAAAAGTCATACAAACATACATATATACACAAAGATGTATAGAAACATAAATCACAAAAGAGAACAATTTATTGCCCATTCTTTTACCTTTTTGGTTCATTCTCTCACAGAATTAACACATAAAAATAGATTCTATCTTAAAATAATATAATTCAATGCCCTTTGTTTCGAGGTATTGTTCCTGTATTATATATTATAATGACTGATAGTACAGATAAGTCACGCATGAATACAATGATGATAGATTGAAAGGAAACATAATAGATCTGTAAAGAACCCCAAGTTGTTTGTATATGAGTTGTTTTTATTGTTTGCCATTCACTCCCTGTGCTCTGAACCCCTTACTTCTCTGAGAAGGGAAGGGCTCCCAGCTTGAGTGCTTTATATACGTTCCACTCCACTCAGCACGGACCTGCCTTTCCTTTCTGAACAACTCTGCTTCTAAATCTCTATTTCTTCACCTCCCTTCTTTCAACACATAGGTATCATATCTGCTTTAAAGGAACTAAGAACTAGGATAGTGCTTTTACCCAGTGTCATTCCATCAACTCAATCATTTATTCAACAAATGCTTATTGAATGCCTTCCATGTCCTGGGCACTATGCTAACTACTCTGGCTATAGCCCAGGATGAGTCATATTTTGTCCCTGCCCTCACAGACTGTACAATCTAGGCATAAACATAAACATGTGATGTGTGGTGAGTGCTGAGAGGGAGAAGGAAAGGTAGCTGTGAGAGCACAGAGCAGGAGAACCTAAGTTGGTCTGGGAAAGACTGCCTTCCAGAGAAAGCGAGACCTGAAATACAGCTCAAGTCAGCACGGAAAGGTGGGGGGAAGAGACCAGGCAAGTGTTCCAGGTGAAAGGAATAGAATGTGCAGAATTTTAGAAAGAGGAGGGAGAACAGTAATGTTTATGAGTTTATGTCTTTTATGGAACTACCTTAACAAGCTTTTTCAATAAGTGGGATTGGAAGTACCTGCTTCTACACAATTTGTTACCATTTGTAAGAGCTGCCCCACAGATACCTTCCGACTTCCCAAGGAGAGATGTTTACCTCCACAGAAAAAACCTCCTCTCTACATTTCACCCACAAGTGGTATTTGCTTGTCTTTTAAAAACTTTTTTATCGTTGTATTACATTGATAAATGTAGAAAGATTAGTATTATGAAGTTATCAACTAGCTTCGATGATTACCAACACATACCAATCCCCTCCATCTGTGCACCCCACTTACCCCCAACTCCCCTCAGCCATACCATAATTGTTCTGAAGTAAATATATGGCTTTATATTCTAATATGAAATAATATTGTGAATCCGTTGTGGAGTGGAGGTTGTTCTGCATAACATACCTTAGAAATACTGAGTTTCCTCCGGCAACTAGAAAGAGAGGTTCTAAGGTTCGCTCTCAGACCTGAACGAGGAGGAACGTGGGAAAAGATGTATACGTCAAGGAGAGACAGTTCCTCCAAAATATCATGGGAAGTGCAGCCCAGGGAGAAAACTGCCATTGAGAAACTCCCTAGGGCTGGGATGGATAAGAATAATTAATATTTATAAAATTTTGTTTTATGTTACTTACCATTTTGTGCTGGCCTGTAATGTGTCCCTGTTTTCCTTATATTCTAGTAGAAGTGTGAATTTCCATACAGTTTTGTGTTCATGATGCTTGGGAAATGAAGACAGTGCCAAAGTACCTGAAGAAGTTCAGAAACACAAAGCGAAATGATGAGCGTGGGTCAAAAAGGGCTGTAGCTAAGTGTCCACTGACAGATAAGGAGATACAGAAGATGCGACACTGTCTACAATGGGTAAATGGAACCACTCATGACAGTGTGGGTGGACCTGGAGGGTTTTCTGCTAAGGGAAATAAGTCATGGAAAGGACAAATACCATATGATTTTTCTTACATATGGATTCTAAAAAACAAAACAAACTCATAGATACAGAGGATGAATTGGTGCTCCCCAGATAGGCGGGGAGTTGGGTGACAAAAGGTGAGATGGATTAAGAAGTGCAAACTGCCAGTTATAAAAATAGCCACAGAGATGTGAAGTACTGCATAGGGACTATAGTCAATAATATTGTAAAAAACGATGCATGGAGTCAGATGGGCACTAGATTTAATCAGCATAATTGCTTCATAAGGTATAAAAATGTTTAATCAGTATGTTGTGCATCTGAAACAAAGATAATATTATGTGCCAACTGTAATTGAAAAATATATTTTTAAAAATAGCTGGAGCAGCTCTTTGGACCAAAAGATGATGATAGGGCTCTAAGAAATCCTTGGGGATGCGTGTTGGATGCTGCAGACACAGGACAGAAATTTGAGACACTTGAATTGGATATTAATAGTGAGGAATATTAAAGTAGGGTGGAATACTTGGGGACATTGGGATTCTGTATAATATTTTTTATTTCTCAGATACTAATAATTATATGATGAACCATTATTTTAATAATACCTGTTTAGAAATAAAAGATGCCACACTAAAATGGGAAAAAATGTGTTTTGAACATATTTGTGTTTGATTTTACAAAATGAGATCTTACTATGCACATTGTTCAGCAACATTGACTATTATTTGGAAAATGACCATATTTTTTATTCTTTGGGGATAAACTTGATTTTTCAGACACAAAAAAATAGTCATTTGGCACTATGTATTGTGATGGTCAAACAAATAATGAGACTAACTCTAACACAGGTTTTATAAAAATATTTTTTGCTCTATTCACAAATTGGATAGCATCTTAAAATATCTACTTTAAATAATATTCTTTTGGATCTATACATTTGCCATTGTTTGCTTTCCAAAGTCTCATTATTTTATGGTTAAAGTTTGATATTACAAATATACTAGAAAATGAAATATTTACTTGAAAGTCTCCAGTGAAACTAGAGGAATTTTGTCTCTCAGAAGATCAATCATGAAATGAAAAGAGAATTGATTGGGTAGCAACTGAGCTAAAAATGGCCACTGTCTTGTTAACCCCAAGTCTCCCCAGCCCCCCTCCATCTGGAGGCCAGGGGGTAACTTGGCAGAAGGCATTCAGACCTTCACTTATGGTAAGAGTTGTAAGAAGAAATCCTAGCACAGAGTACCCAAGTGTTTACTCCCTGTGTTTGTTCCAAGAATCTTCAGTTGTAGATACCCTTAATATCAATGAGAAATGTGTGTTTGAGCTGTATCGCTTTAGACTAATAGCAAGTTCAAAGACTATTCAAATGGTGTGTATGTGTATGTATTCGAAAAAAACTTGGAGTAGTCTAAGCACCATCTTCTACCTAAACTACACAATCTTATTAGCCAATGTCACCACACAATACAATTAATAAAATTTTAAAAAACAAAAAGATATACAAAGAAAGGAGTGACCAAGACTGCATGTGTTACAGATTTTCTCCTTTTTAATTATATTATTTTACAACTTTGTTGTGAAATTAAGGTTACAGTACTATTTAGGTTTTTTTTAAAGGTAAATTAGCTTAGTATTGAGACTAAAAAGTGTGACAACTGTATTAAGTAGAGTTCTATTTCCTTCACAAAATTAAGAAAGTTTTCTTTCATTATCTATTTTCAAATAAGTTTTCAATTTCTTGCTTTTCCTTTTCTCCTTCTGGCACCCCTATGATTCAGATGTTGGTACATTTAAAGATGTCCCAGAGGTTCCTAAGCCTCTCCTCATTTTCTTTTTAAATTCTTTTTTCTTCCTGCTGTCCTAAATGAATGCTTTTCCTTCCTTGTGTTCCAAATCGCTGATTTGATTCTTGGTTTCATTCCTCCACTATTGGTTCTCTAGATTTTTCCTTATTTCACTTAATGCAACCTTCATGTCTGCCTGGGTCTTTTTTATGCCATTGAAGTACCCAATGAGTTTCTGGAGCATCCTGATAACCAGTGTTTTGAACTGTGTATCTAATAGGTTGCTTATCTCCATTTCATTTAGTTCTTTTTCGGGAGTTTTGTTCTGTTCTTTCATGTGGGCCATATTTCTTTGTCTCCTCATTTTGGCAGCCTCCCTGTGTTTGTTCCTGTGTATTGGGTAGAGCCACTTTAACTCCCTGTCTTAGTGTATCTGTTAAGTTTTATGGGGCACAGCCTTAGGTAATTGCCAGGGCAGGGCAACCATGTCATTGCTCTGATGCTCTGTGTGGGGCAGGGCTTGCAGAGGGGACAATACCACTGCCTGGCCTGTGGAGTTTTGCCCAGGAGGATGCTGTCTCCCAACTTGCCCTTCACTTTCTTCCCATATGCCACTGGTGCTGTTCCAGCTGTTGCCCTCATGCTGAATCCTGGTGTGTGTGGGAGGTCTGTGTGAGTCCTAAGTCTGTTGCGGGACCTTTAAGAGGATGTAGCTTTTTCCACTGCCCTGACCCCTACTGATTTTTATAGCCAGAATTTATGGGGACTTATCTTCCTTGCTCTGGGACCCTCAGCTGGGCAGTCTGGTCTGGGCCTGGGATCCCTCAAACCCAAGGTCTCTCTCCCATTATTTTAAAAGTATGTTTTATTAACTATGTTATTACAGTTGTCCCAATTATTCCCCCTTTGCTACCCTCCTCCTGGTACCCCCTTCCCTCCAGCAATCCCCCTCCTTATTTCATGTCCATGGGTTGTGCATACAAGTTCTTTGGCTTCTCCATTTCCCATACTATTTTTAACATCACCCTGCCTATTTTGTACTTACCAATTATGCTTTTTAATTCCTGAACTTTTCTCCCCATTCTTCTTTTTTCTCCTTCCAGCTGATAACCCTTCAAATGATCTCTATACCTATGATTCTGTTCCTGCTTAAGTTGTTTGCTTAGTTTGTTGGGGTTTTTTTCTTTGTTTTTAGAATCAATTATTGATAGTTATGAATTTGTTGCTTTTTTAATGTTCATAGTTTTGATCTTCTTTTTCTCTTGCTGCTTTTAAGATTCTCTTTTTATCTTTATCTTTAACTTTTAGCATTTTAATTATAGTGTGTCTTAGTGTGGACCTCTTTGGGTCCAACTTGTTTGGGATTCTCTGTGCTTCCTGGACTTGTATGTCTATTTACTTCACCAAATTAGGGAATGTAGGAGACCGTTCTGCATGGTGTGGGCCCAGCTCCCACTCAGAGATGTACAGGACCCACACCCATGGATAGGTTCTCCCGTGCTGAATCAGGCCTGCAATGTGCCTAGGCTGCTTTTAGTCTTGCTCTTGCTAAAAAAATCCCTCACCCAGAATTGAGGACATTTACTGCAAAGTAACTTCCTAAAATCCATGCTAAACCTTCCAAGGATGAGTGTAACCAGTTCAACCACTTTTGCCTTTTCATTTGCAAATATCCCTCTTCTGTGATGTGATTAGCGGCATTAGCTCCTTTGTTTTCTGTGAAATGTAACCACCTAAAAGCAAACCTGTGCATAGTAAATGAGGACCATCATGTAATGTGCAGGGAAGAGAAATAAAGGCCTGTCATGGCGGAAGCCGCAGCTTCTGCTCCCCTTGAGTGAAAAGCCATGCTGTCCCTTTTCCTCCACCAGACACAGTAGTCTATGTGAATGTCTCATTTCATCCATAATGACGCGGACACTTTGGGCTAGTGTCTGCATCAAGGGAAGTTTTCTCTATTTTTTCACATAGGTTTTGGATTTCTTGTTCTTCCTTTTCTTCTTCTGGCATCCCTATGATTCAGATGTTGACATGTTCGGAGATGTGCAAGATTTCCTTATACTATCCTTGATTTTTTTAATTCTGTGCTGTTCTGGTTGAATGTTTATTTCTTCTTTATGCTCCAAATTACTGATTTGAATCCTGGCTTCCTTCCCTTCACTGTTGGTTTCTTGCAGATTTTCCTTTATTTCACTTACTGTAACCTTTATTTCTTCTTTTATGTTGTTGCCGTACTCAGTGAGTTCTTTGAGCATCCTGATCCCCAGTGTTTTGGACTCTGCATCTGAGAGGTTGGTTATCTCCATTTTGTTTAGTTCTTTTTCTGGGGTTTTGTTCTGGTCTTTCATTTGGGCCATATTTCTTTGTCTCCTCAGTTTGGCAGCATCACTGTGTTTGTTTCTGTGTATTAGGTAGAGCTGCTTTGCCTCCCTGTCTTGGTAGTGTGGTCTATTGTTGAATAGGTACCAAAAAATTGTGTGGGGCAGACCCTTAAGTAATTGCCAAGGTGGGGGCAACCCACTTCATCACTTTGTGAATCCGTGTGTGGGGAGGACTCAGAGTGGGAACTGTGCTGCCGCCTGGCTTCTGGAGGTTCAGCTGGCACTGGCCCCATTTCCAGTCACTTCACCCACTCACCATATACAACTGGCACCTTTCCAGCTGTTGCCCTGGTGTTGAAATCCAGAGTGGGTGTGTTTGTGTCCGTTTTAAAACTGTATAGGCCCTTTAAGTGGAGTTCCTGAAAATGCAGCAGTTTTTTCTGCTGCCCCACCCCCACTGTTTTTTACAGCCTGAAGTTATTGGGATTTATCTTCCTGGTACTGGAACCCTGGGCTGTGTGGTCTGGCCTGGGGATGGGATTGCTTACTCCTAAGGTATCCCTCCCAGTTTTTACCTTCCACACATGAATGTGGGACTGCCTCTCTGCACCACACTGTGCCTCTCCGCCTGTCTCCACATCTCCACCCCTCCTGCCTGTCTGGATGAATGTGGCTTCTTTAAATCCTCAGCTGTCAGACTTTCATATAGTTTGATTTTCTGACAGT